GCCCAGGCCCCCCAGGGCAGCCTCCTCTGTGGCACAAAGTGTCTCCTGAGATGCAAGCTCATCGAATGGGGGGGACCAGTAACAGCCTCACGGTGAGAGATTCCCCCCTGCCGTGCCCGGAAACAGAGGTTTCTCAGCGATGCTGAGGAAATAAGTCCCTTTTATCTCTTCTTTCCCTGATCAAGCCAAAGAAGGCATGGTTGTGAGGAGACTTGATTTTAAGAGCTATTTGTTCCAATCATGATGTTCAGTGGCAACCAGACCCTTAAAGGATGATGGGCATCTGGCTGGTCAAGGACTCTGTGTTCTGAGAGTTGTGATTATCATCGCCACCTATCGCGGGTTTAGGACGTGGCCTGGGGACCCATAGTCATGACAATACTTTCCACGTGCTTGGTGTTACATGGGAGGGCACGCGTCCGTCCACACGCGCGGAAAGGTTTAAGGAGGAGAGGACCTCCACTTGGTGTATGTCACTCACAGAAAAGAAATAATATTAGGACTAGAGATTTTCTAGGACCAGAAACATTACTTCCCCCAAACAAGTGTTCTTGTCAGCCTCCCCAGCCCCCCTGAAAATGTCGGCCCACCTCTCTTTATCTTTCACACGTCGGCTCCCACCTCTTTTTGCCTTAAGATTAATAATCTGTTTTATGTTTTCTCTCGTATTTTAAGCCACTCTCTTGTAATGTTGGTTTACAACCTTTCTCCCTTTATCTAATGTCTTGGAACACTTGTCAGGGCTTTTTATGTTATTTCTCTCACTATCTTTTTTATTGGCATATAATTTACATACAATGAAATTCAACTAATTTTAATTGTACAACCTGATGCAGCCTGACAGACGTACATACCATAAACAGTCATAGGGCATTTGGGCCACACTTTTGAAGACTTCTAGTTGAAAATTCAATTTCCGAATGTTTGTAAATGACCAATTTGCAAGTTGAAAAATATAGTTTTATTCAGTATGAAGAGAGAAATGAGGGACACATTTAAGAATAGTTATTAAGAAAGGCAAGAGATCCTATTAGATCACTTGTGCTGCTGTCTTCCTTCTGTCCTCTAAACAGGATGAAACGCTTACAGAAGATGAGGACTTGCCAAGAATAAATTTGATTTCAGGATACTTAGGGCTCTGTCTGCAGCTGCTAGTGAGAATCAGGGTGCTGATTCATCTTCCCCGTCTTGGTCTTTGGTTTGTTTCCTTCCTATGTGGATACGTTTAGCATCAGAGCCTGGTTGAGGAATGAGAAGATGGGCCGAGAGAACAGGAGGGGGTGGGCAGACCAGCTGCCCAGTAACAGGGAGCAAATTAATTGTCATAAGCGCAAAGTAAAATTGTGACTGAGGAAATTGTTTGAAAAAAAGAGATGTCAAATGCCATAGTCATTATGTTTTGTGAGTAGTTACATGATAATGCCCTGGAATGCTTGTTTAATGTCAAAATGAAGATTTCTAAATCTGCAGGAAGAGAAAAGCCAGCTGAAAGCAGAATGATACATTGACCAGAGAGGCAGATAAATGGCCACAGTGGGAGGCACGCAGAGCAGGGGGCGCAGCACGTTCCGGGGCGTGAGGAGCTTAGGAACGGGGAGGGTCCACTCAAGCCGACCCTGCGAGGCGGCTGGGAACCACACTGTGCTGGGCCGTTACAGGCTTTGCACTTCTGTGCTTAGGGAAATAGGGAGCCGGGGAGGATCACGCTCGAATTGGGGTGAGGGTAGGGGCCACGACGACCACAATAGAGAGCCGAGGCCGCACTTCTCGGGGTGCGCACCACGGTGAGAGCTGCTCACATAGGAGCCAACGTGCACCCCCCCCAAACCATACGAACTGGATACTCAAGTGATGCCCAGCTTATGAGTGAGGAACCCGAGTGTACAGGTAGATTATATAACCTATCCGAGATCATTCAGTTAACGAGTGGCAGAAGTGAGGCTGCGCGGAAACGCGTTAGGAGGCTGTTGCAGAATCATCAGCCGGAGGTGCTCGGGGCTGCACGGAGTAAATGACAGCGGAGAGGCATCAGGTAACAGGGTTAAGGCATGTATAAGCTGGAAAACTTGTCTCCAAAGTATTACATTTTTAATTTCTTGGTATATTAAAATTTTTTATCTTATTATGGTGAGAGCCTTAACATCACATCTGCCCTCTTAACTGGTTTTTAAGCACACGGTACAGTTAACTATTGCCCGGTATACTTTTCAACTTGATTGTCTCGCTGTTGCCTGCGTTTTCTTCCAGTATCCTTCTTCACCTGTTTTTCCTATTCCTGCTACTGCAATGCCAGTTATGCAGCCCCAAAGCATCCAAGTGCTTTCTTCCATCTTTCCATCACTCACCAAAGTGAGTGGGCAGCCACAGAGCCCACGACAGTCACCTGGGCCAAAGTCCTCACAGTTCAGCCCAGCTTCCCATCCCGTGTGCTGCCTGTGGAAACTGGAATGCATGTCTGTTTGCACAGAAGGTTACTGACAGGCTGTCCCCACTCAGGACGCGACTCCACACTGGTCCCGGATCAAACACTCAGCGAACCCGACGCCAGCTGGGTGTGGGGGAATGCAGAGCGTGGGCAGCGTGTGGCGGGGTCCACTTTAAGATATGGAATGATTTAAGAAATGATACAAGAGGGAAGGGGGGAAAGCTTAATGGGGCTAGAAGAAGAGAAACGATCAGAGCTGGAAGGACTGGGAAACTGGTTTTCTGGAAAGCAAAGTCTTGCCACGGTCACGCTGTAGCTCACAGGATGTCCTGCTGGCGAGGAGGCGGCCCACTTTCCTCTGGCTGAAACCCCGTGCCCCGGGCTTTACTATCAATGACAAGATAATGGCGTGAAAACACAGATCAAACACCAGAAACACTGGACAGACTTTTCAGATGCAGGGAAGAGTGTGCTCTCCTGTTCTCCATTTGTTTCATCACATCCAGTGTGTCAAGTCTATGTATTAGTCACTTCTGTTATCTGTCTTCACAGCAACCCTACAAGGTTTGTGTACAAGCAATCCCCTGGCTTTGCAGGTGAGAAGGTTGAGGGTCAGAGGGCCTCAGTGACTGGCAGAAGGTTGCACCATTAGAAAATGCAGAGCCAAAGTTCAGCTCCAGCTCCACCTCACCCCAAAGCCTGTGTTTTAGCCACTCTGACCCACTGCCCCTAGTAGCAGAGACGTATAGGGTCTTAAATGACTATCTTTAAAAGTTCTGACATTTTAAGTTTAGCCTTGAAAGCAGGATGTTTCAATGAATTCATCTCTGACGGTCTAGTTAAGGGTAAGGATTTAAAAATAACCCTGAAGTCTCTCCTACTCTATGGCTCTGTGACATTTTTTTCAGTTGTTTTGACTCCAAGTAAAAAAAGATGATCAATAAAATGCCCTTTAACACATGTAAGAACCACACTTACTGAAGCTCTTATAATATTGCTCATGTGAGTCCATAGGATTTAAAAACAATCCTTTTCTCCTATTTCAGGAATAAAGTCCTAATGGGTTTTGGCAGTTATGCATTTAGTTAGTAGATGCTTAATTAATAATAGGGTATGTTTTGTAAAAATTAACTCCATAAAAATTCTTGATATCACCAGAGCCATTTCTGTAGTAATTATCTAACACTGAATTTGATTATAAAAAGCTTCTATGTGTATGTCTAGTCATTTCTTGCGCAATACAATGTGAGACTATTGACTTCTGTTGACTTGGTGGGCAGCTAATCTAGCATAACTATGAAACAAATCATTCAGAATAAATAAGGTGCAAAATATATTGAAAGAATAAAATGTATTTAAGTACATGTTAGTGGTTCTTTATAACTCACTTCTCTTATAAACATGCATTCTTACATGAAATATGGTGAATATGATTATTTTAACTGTTTTTATGAGAACTGAAAATAACTTTAAAATCAGTGCAAGTTAATATGACCAACACAAGAATGGTGAATAGTTACTCTGGCGTATTTATATTCCTAGTTTTCAAAGGTATGTGTAAACACCACGGAGAAAATGCAGTTCATACACATGAGACATAATGACTTTTGTCCTGAGAGAGAAGGGCAGTGGCTGGATGGGACATGATGCAGTTTCCTCCTTACCACTTTCTCCGTTTAGAAAAATGCTTAAATCAGAAAACTGAGACAAAATCCTGTGCCCACGCTGGTGTTGACCAGAGTCAGAGTGTGCAGATCTGCTTTCCCTCAGAAAGCTCGCCTCGCCCACCCCTCTCTGGTGATAATGGCCCACAGAATAAGGAACCCCTGAAGGTCCTTCTTTTCCTGGTCCTCCCCTCACGCCAAGTAAATGTCTCTTCTGAGGCCATACGATACAGATGCAAGCAGCAAGGATTCTGGAGCGCTCCTGCAGGCCTTTGAAGCCCTGCACGGCCACTTGCTGGCTGTGACCTGTGGCAGGGGCTGTGTCTCATTTTCCCAGTGGAGATGAGAGTAGCAGGTGCACTTCTCACGGGACTGCCAATGAGGATGACACAAATACTAGTGCCTAGAGTCCAGGGAACACTATATAAATTGTCATTCCTGTACAACCTGAATTTCACTCAGTGGCTATGTTATCCTATATTATATATCACATGTACATATAGTCACAGATAGTCCTGGTGTTCAGTTCACTGAAATTTCATAAACGGAATAATCCTATATGACCAGCATGTAAATCAAGAAACAGAAACTAGTACCTCAACAGCCCTCTAAATGCCCCCTTCATGCCCCCTTGTCTTCCACTACCTGTTCAGTGCCCTTCTCTAAGGGTGACCGATATCCTGACTTCTGATTAGTTTCATTACTGGCTATTTGTTAAGCTTGGATGTTGCAGCCATGGATAAGGGATGTAGTGCACTGGCATTTCATTTTTTATTCAGTCTCTAGGGATACATATTTGCTGGTTTGTCTTTTGCTATTTATAGTAATAAATATAGTACATATAACATATAAGGCATACTACATATGGTATCATAATAAAACATAATATTTGAATACATTTTGTTTTCCAGGTTGAAAAAGCTCCTGGAACAAGAAAAGGCTTACCAAGCCCGGAAGGAAAAGGAAAACGCCAAGAGGCTCAATAAACTCCGAGATGAGCTCGTGAAGCTCAAGTCCTTCGCACTCATGCTAGTGGATGAAAGGCAAATGCATATTGAGCAACTCGGCCTGCAGAGCCAGAAAGTTCAGGATCTCACTCAGAAACTGAGGGAAGAGGAAGAGAAGCTCAAAGCCATTACTTCCCAGTCCAAAGAAGACAGGCAGAAACTGCTCACGTTGGAAGCGGATTTTGAACAAAAGGCTTTGAGGTTTTCCCAAGAGCATGAAGAGATGAACATGAAGCTGGCTACTCAGGAGACTCACAACCGGCAGCTCAGACTCAAGCTGGTCGGCTTGTCCCAAAGAATCGAGGAGCTGGAAGAGACCAACCAACATCTTCAGAAGGCAGAGGAAGAACTGCAGGAACTGAGAGAGAAGATCGCCAGGGGGGAATGTGGCGGCTCCAGCCTCAGGGCCGAGGTGGAAAGCCTGCGGAAGCGCGTGCTCGAGATGGAGGGTAAGGACGAGGAGATCACGAAGACGGAGGCCCAGTGCCGGGAGCTGAGGAAGAAGCTGCAGGAGGAGGAGCATGGCAGCCGGGAGCTCCAACTTGAGGTCGAGAAGTTGCAGAAGAGGATGTCCGAGCTGGAGAAGCTGGAGGAGGCGTTCAGCAGGAGCAAATCCGAGTGCAGCCAGCTGCACCTAAACCTGGAGAAAGAAAGGAACTCTGGCCAAGGCCTGCTGAACGAGCTGGAGGCGGTCAAGAGCCGCGTCAAGGAACTGGAGTGTTCTGAAAGCAGGTTGGAAAAGGCTGAACTCAGCCTAAAAGACGACCTGACAAAGCTCAAGTCGTTTACTATGATGCTGGCGGATGAAAGGAAAAACATGATGGAGAAGATAAAGGAAGAAGAGAGGAAAGTGGACGGGCTCAATAAAAACTTTAAGGTGGAACAAGGAAAGGTCACGGATGTGACCGAGAAACTGATCGAAGAAAGCAAGAAGCTTTTAAAGCTGAAATCTGAAATGGAGGAGAAGGTGTACAGTTTGGTAAAAGAGCGAGATGAATTAATAGGCAAACTGAAGAGTGAGGAAGAGAAATCCTTGGGGCTGAGATGCAGCGTCGACCTGCTGACGAAGAGGCTGGACGGGGCGTGGGGAGAAGGCAGGGAGACCACAAGGGGGGGGCCCCGAGCGGGACCGGAGCCCGCCGGCCCGGAAGACAACAGGGTTCGGGACCTGACGCTGGAGGTCGAGAGGCTGAGGCAGCGCCTCCAGCAGCTGGAGGTGGTGGAAGGCGACCTGATGAAGTCGGAGGATGAGTACGACCGGCTGGAGCAGAGATTCAGGACCGAGCAGGACAAGGCCAACTCCCTCTCCCTGCAGCTGGAGGAGGTGAGGCGCCAGATGGCCAAGGGCAGGGCCGCGGAGCGCGGGGAGGCTGCGGGCCAGGAGGCCGAGCTGAGGCACAGGTTCCGGCTGGAGGAGGCCAGAAGTCGGGACCTGGATGCCGAGGTGCAGGCCCTCAAGGAGAAGGTCCACGAACTGATGGGCAAGGAGGACCAGCTCTCCCAGCTGCAGGTGGACCACTCGGTCCTCCAGCAGCAGTTCCTGGAGGAAGAGAGCAAGAACAGAACCCTGGGGCAGGAGGTCGTGACCCTGAGCAAGGAGCTGGAGCTGTCCAGGCGCTACGGCCGCGCGCTCAGGCCCGGCGTGGGCGGGCGGCGGCCGCTGGGTGTCCCTGTGGCGTCCACGGGGGTGCAGACCGAGGCCGCGGGCGCCGGGGCGGCGGACGAGGACACGGCCGCCGTGTTCATCCGCAAGTCCTTCCAGGAGGAGAACCACATCATGAGCCACCTCCGCCAGGCGGGGCTGAGGACGCCCCCGGAGCGGGCCCCCGTGCTGGACAGGTACCCGCCGGCTGCCGGCGAGCTCACACCGAGGCGGTCCTGGGCCCCGTGGACGAGGAGGCGGGAGCCCGCGCCGGAGAAGGGGGGCCCCGGGGGGCGGCCGGCGGCCCCCAGGCAGGGCCAGCCGCTGCACATCCGCGTCACGCCCGACCGCGGGAGCAGCACGGCCACCCTGGAGATCACCAGCCCATCCCCCGAGGACTTCTTCTCCAGCACCACCGTCATCCCCACCCTGGGGGGCCAGAAGCCCAGGATAACCATTATTCCATCCCCAAATGCCGTGTCCCGAAGACCGAAGGGTGGAGAGGCGCCCCTGGGCGCGGAACGGGCCGTGTCCCCCGTCACCATCACCACCTTCTCCAGGGAGAAGAGCCCCGAGGGCGGGAGGGGAACCGACAGGCCCACGTCCCCCATCCAGGTGACCGTGGCCACGTCCGCAGTGCCGGCGGAGACGGCGGCACCTCCCGAGGCCCCGGAGGCGCCCGCGGGCCGCACGGTCCTCAGAGTCACCCCGGAGAAGCAGGCCGCCCCGACCCGTGCACGGCAGTACAATGCCAACGCCAACATCATAACCACGGAGGACAATAAAATCCACATCCACTTAGGTTCTCAGTTCAAGCGGTCGCCTGCGACTTCAGCCGAGGGAGCGAGTCCCGTCATCACCGTCAGGCCCGTCACGGTGACAGCTGAGAGGGAGGCCCCCACTGGCACGGTCCTCCGCGCCCCCAGGAACCACCTGTCGCCGCGACCTGGTGGGAGCAAAGTGACCAGCACCATCACCATCACGCCGGTCACGGCCTCCCCCACCCGAGGCGCGCAGCCTGCGGTGAGTGTGGAGGCCTCAGGGTGGCTGCAGGTGGGGTAGGGAGCCAGGTTCCCCTGCCCCACGCGAAACAAAGCCACATGCCCCCCTCCACCCTGACCCACCAGCTGCACCAAGAAAGAGAAAGAAAAGGTGGCCTGGTCCTTGAATACACTGTGCTAATTTTGAGGGAAAATTTCTTTCTTGGGTGTAAATTGTGGAGACCCCCCCCCACCCAAATACTTGCAAACATGGCCCCTTTGTAATGCAGCATAGAGCAATAGTAAGGTTTAAAATTTGATTTCTGTGTTCCAAATACTTTAAAAAATGGAGGCTGAGGAAAATGATGCAGGAGGAATTAGAACCATTGCCGGCTTACATTTCTATAAACCGATACATGTGATAGGCAACCATACATGGCCTAGTCATACTTTGTTCCAAAAATAAGGTTACACCATTTGAATACCAAAACCTTTTTTAACAGCAAAATACAAGTGAGTTTATATGTCTAAGCACTGTATTTTTTTAGTAGTATCTTATACAGAACAGGTGCTTGGTTACTATTCAACAACCAACAGGAAGGCAAAATAAAGGATTATAAAAAGGCGTCTCCAAAGTATAAAAACCAGAGCTTAAAAGTGAACTCCATTTTTCAGAATACCTCCAGTGAGTGCCTTTGTTCACTTGGGACAAACTGGTGAATGAAATTACAGAAGAGCATGGACTCTTTAGGTATAATTTAAACTAATAGGCCAGGAATTGTGATTCCTAGACTCTGAACAAATTCTACAACATATATTGGAAATTCCTAAAGACAGGAAGCTTCTCATTTAAGCCTTGTGTCTTAATTAAGTTATTTTCCCATGTCTGCAATGTAATTTACTTGAACTCTCTGTGCACCAGCATAGATTCCAGACAGACTTCCCAATGTGAGTCACTCACAGCTTTGCCATTAAGCTTCTCGCCATCGCTCCGTGGGCGCCAAATGGCATTCTGAGTGACTCACCGTCTTCATATGGTTTGCTTTTGCTTTCGAGGTGGCACAGAGCATAGCTTGGTTATACAGGTTGTTTCTCTCTGATGATCTTTATGAAAAGATGTAGACGTGTAAGTTGTAACTTAGAGCAGATTTGCTGCTAGGACATCTTATTCCCATTTTAAGGGTGAGATTGAATAGTCTTACCTTCTATGTAACATTTTTGACTACTGATTAAACCCCACACACAAATGGGATTTCAAAACCACTAAGATCTCCAAGGCCTGAGTGATGGCCCACGTACTTCAGGCACGTGAGCTCCTCTAAAATCAAGGGACAAGAAGAAGTTTGGGACACCCCTCTTCAAAGTTGACTGGTGAGTTCGGTTCATGTGTGCATTGATTCGTTCAAAGCTTTCCGAACGTTAGCTGCCCTTAAGCACCGGGTGAGGTGCTGACTGCAGAGAGGACCTTTAGAAGGTCTTGGCTTAGTGGGGGAGGCAGGATTGGTGCCCACCTGGTGGTTCTATGGTAGATGTACGTACAGAAGAACCAGCAGGGGAGGCTCCACAGAGGAGAGGGTTTTCACACATACTGAGAGATTTTCAACAAGGAGAGGGAAGTATGCAGAGAGGACAGTGTGCAGAGGTGTGGCGATGTGGAGGGAGCCTGGCGGGGTTTGGGGAATGACGGCATGGAGGTAAAATCCAGGAGCAGAAAACGGAAAGGCAACTTAGTGTCAGGTAACGGAGAGGTGTGTGCTATTATGAAGCTGACACTTAATCTCACAGAGCAGACGAAGGGACCCACTGAGAGTGTCATGATGGCCTCAAAATTACATTATTTATGTTTTAGAAAGATGTGTCTATAAACCAGTTTAAAGGATAAATTGTAGGGGACAGAGGCTGAGGACATTGACGCAGTGGCAGTTCTCTAGGCTTGAGATGGTGCAGGCTTGAACAAAGGCAGTGAAAATGAGGACGGAGACATTGAAGATTTCGTCACACTGAGTACAGAGGGTGACTCAGGTTTCTGGGCTGACTCTCTGGGTGGATGGGATGAGAAATGTAGGGGACTGTTTGGGGACAATCTAAGTAATGTCTGGGGCAGTTATATTTGAGATGCCAGGGGCAGGCAGAAATGTCTAGCAGCAGTTGTATGTACAGAGCTGTGTTTCAGGGGGGCCTTGAAGGCTGGAGACTCAGGGACACAGGGGTGATGACCTAGGGGACTCTCGGGGTTCATGTGGGACACGAAGAGGGCTGGGAAGGGAACGTGGTGACACCCCCATTTAGGAGGCAGGTAAGCTAGGACAAAGAGCCAGCAGGAGACTGAAAGGCGGGTAGGGGGTGAAGGGGTGAGGCTCAAGGAAGATACCCGAGAGAAGGAGGGGCGGCCAGCAGCGACAGTGTCCCGTCCTTGGGAGGTGAGAGGAAGCCGCTGCATGTGAGGAGGTGGAGATGGTCTGGGGCATGGGGGCGGGCAAGCTGCCAGAGCTCACGCGTGCAGGGGTGGGGGTGGGCCTCAGGGAGGGCTGGGAGGGGGCCTGAGGAAAGAAGCCTGGCATAGATGTTTGAGGGGAGGGACGAGGGTGACAGTGGCCTGGCCGTGGACTCCGAGCAGGCAGCGTGACTTCAGCGGGGCCCCGGGTCGCCTGAGGGCCCGCTGCGCGCAGGTCCGGGCCTCTCCAGGCGGCAGCTCACCCGCCTCCTCGTGTCTCTCTGTTCTCTCCCGCAGTCAGGACAAGACGGGGCGTCCCAGCGGCCTGCACCTACCCGCATCCCCATGTCAAAAGGTATGAAAGCAGGAAAGCCAGTAGTGGCCCCGGGAGCAGGAAACCTGGCCAAACCCGAGCCTCGAGCTGGGACTCAGTCTGTGAAAATAGAGCTGAAGAAGCCCGCAGCCGGCAGCAAGGCCTCTCCCGGAGGGGGGACGGGCGGAGGGATGCCGAGGGGTACGTCCGCGGGCCCGCGCCTCCCTGGCCCTGCGGGCCGCCCGCTGCTCACCCTGCCTGCGCTGCCCGACCCCGGAATGGCCTCTGGGTAACCGCCTAACAGCCGCGCGTCTTCCCTGTGCCCCGAGTGTGGGCGGGTGTGCAACTAACCCGCCGACCCTGCTGAGCGCTGCGAGGATGCGGGGCCTGCGGGGCCCCGTCTGTGGTCCCAGCTTTGCACCCGCGGGGTGGATGCATCCATTAACCCACCTGAGCCTCTGTGGGGTAAATCTGGGGAGGAATCACCTCCTCTCCAAAGCCAGCGCCAGTAATTCTAATTGCGATTCAAATTCAGCAGGCCCTGTTCCCCAGTAATTGATTTTTCAAAAATTCTATTAGGAAATAGGAAATAGTGAACAATTGTCATTTGCCTCTGTCAAATCAATCCCGGATTTGCTTCATATGCTGGAAAAAATATCTGGTTATCACAGGGCCTGGTCTGCTATCTAAAATATTCAAAAACAAAAGCCTCAGATGATTTCAGGAAACAATCTGAATGTGAAATAAAATGGAAATGAAATACGGAACCCTGTAAACAGACTTTTACTTGCTTGTATCTGCATGATGCAGAGGTCTCGGCCATCTCCACGAGAGTCCCAAAATTTCGTAGACAATGATTTTAGAGCCACGAATGTCAGACTTGTGCTCTATTCAAGTGTGCAATTGGTTTAGTGTGCAGCAGTTTGAATAGAGCTGCCAAATGACCTGTTACAGCTCAACAGAGGTTGTAATGGATAGAAAATAGCCAAAAGTAAATTCTGATACATGAATTCCAAGGAAAAAAATGACATCAAATGTAGCTAAATTGAATTCAAATATTTTCCTCAGTTAAGTGTGGACCTTACTTGCAAATATAGAACCGGTTTGTGATTGTGTGTGTATGTGCGTGACATGGAGAAATGGATTAATATTCCTGTGTGTTTTACTTGTGTTTGTGTCACTTTCACTAATTTTAAGCATGTTTTAATAAGCATGAAACAGTACGTGAGTGCGAAGTGCCATGTGAGAGGACTGACCACGTGAAGGTGGGCATGATGCTGCATGATTCAATAACCGGAAATGAGCTCAAGGCTAATGACCCGCAGTGCAGCACCTGAGGTCCCGCGTAGGCAGCACTTTTGTGGACGTTTTTGGGCCAACTGGGTGAATGTTACAAAATACAATAGCTGTGAAGGTTGTTTTTCCACTTCTGAATTGTGAGGGTTTGAAAATTACTTGATTTGATAGCCCTTGTTCTTGATTTTTGGAAAAAAGAGCATTCAAAAGCAAAAAGATGTATATGATTAGTTTTGAACCCCATCATCATGCTTCCTGATAGAGAGGCTCCCCTCTGAGTTCGTTGCATTTCCCTTCCCTGTAGAGCTTGGACTTGAACTGTATGTGATGGTGGTAGAGGCCTCAGTGTTCACATCCCCTTTAATCGGAGCTCTGGCCCAGGGCTCGGCCGTTCTCAGCATGTATGTGAAAAAGTGTTGAGCAACTGGCGGACATGCCACAGTAATGGGATTCCAAGCTAGAGGGAAGGGCAGACCGAGAAAAAAATTTATGAAACATGATTCTGAACACATTTAAACAGGAGATCTTGCCATTTTAAATACGGACTGGTATTTTTTTAAAGGGACATTCCCCTTTTGTAAAGCAGACATCCATCCCTTCACGGACAAGAGGATTGGCTGTTTTCCGAATGTCTGCCTGGCGTTTAGGGTATTTTGTGCTGCTGGACCATAACATACTGCAGCCGAGCCAACCACAGCGTCAGGGGGCTTCTGTCAGCATCTCACTGTGGCTGCTGCTCTTGCTTTTATGTGCCCACCCCCCACACCCCACACCATGCTCAGGCCGCCTCCACCTGGAAGCCCACCCACCGCGGGAAGGGTGTGGGGACAGGATGCTCACACGTCCGGATCTTGGAATAGAGCCACCTACAAAATACAGCTGCTAAAAAAACTTGGCAGAACAACACATACTTGCTTTCCCAAAATGATAAAGAGCAACCCCTCACAGCACTTTTTCCTTTGTAATGTTAGAACCAACACTACATTTATTGGCAAGCTTTGTTTTAAATGACATACTAGAGATGAAATCCACAAGTGAGAGAAGGTAGAGATTAAAGGCACTCTGACCGCAGCTCCCATTTTCAGGCGTAATGTTTTTAAGGTGCAGTTTCATGTGCTTTTATAAGAGCAATGGGATTACGAAGTCAGTGTCCTTCCCCTTTCCTGGGACATTGGATCGCGTGGTCAGGGGTCCCGCCAGGCCTGCTGTGCAGCTGCTGCTCAGCACTCCCAGGAAGGGGTACCATCTCCACAGACTCAGGGTGACGGCTGCCCTGGGGACGCTAGGGCACAGTCTGTGTGCGGAGGAGGTCCTGGTGTCCCTGTCCTGAGAGTAATTGTCATGCGTTGACTGTTTCAGCCCCCTGTGATGGTGTCCAGTTAGTGGGCATGTGCCGGGATCATTCCTGCGAGTGCCACAGCCCTAAGGGTAATTGTCCTTTGTTGGCAATGACATTCCTGTCTGGGTCACCTGGTTAAACAGTAACTCTGTTTCTACTGGTATCATTATCATCTTCTCAGTGATGAGAAGTTGATGGGCGGAGATTTAAATGTATCGTTAGGGTTAGGGTGTGGCCAGATCTCTCACTGGAATGTCTTCTGAAAGAAGTGAAGAAATAGCTTTGATGTGCAGTGTGGGAAGAGTATAACTTCAGGGAGATGGAAATATGTCTAAAAATGTAAGATGTACAAAGGTTTGGATTTCTCGTTCTCTCATGGATTCAGAATACTGGGGAAAGAGTGGGGCTCTCCTGATGGGGAAAGCCCCAGGGATATTAGGCCCAGAGAGCGTCCTTAGGTGGGAGGCCAGAGGGCAGAGAGGGGGAGGTAACGGGACGGGCACAGAGAGGGGCTCCCAGTGCACGGGGCCACGGCTCCTCGGAGCTCGGGGTTACCCACCCCCCTCACGCCGCTCGCCTCCTCCTCTGGCAGCAGCCCCTCCTGCCACCTGCCCCGCGCTCGGGTCTGGGTGCGCTCGGACCCCTCCCTGTCCCCCGCCCGCCCCGTCGGCTGCCGCAGAGCCCTCGGCCTCCCGCTCACCGGGCCCCTTTGCCCTCCACTCCTTCTCATTTTCAGTAACCGCTCCTTGTCATTTTCAGTAAAGTGAATCCTGTGCGGAGCTGACACACCGGCCGCGGCAGAAGGTGGGAACAGCTGCCCCTCCCTTGCCCCCCTCGTCCTGCGGCTTTGCTCCCTGGGGAAAGTCTCTCCTGACTCTCAGCTGTTTCCTCGCGCACCGTCGCCCTGTTTCTGAGTCCTTGTCCCTCTGCCTCTTTGTTCATTGAATTTAGATGCTGTCCTTTGTCTTCCCATTACTGTTTGGATGGTTGAGGATCTGCCCCTCACCCTCCCAATATGATCACAACAAACTTTTGAATACATCTGCCACCAGCATTTGTGTTTCTGTATTGACACAGTCACCCTGTAAATGCACGCATTGCTCCTGCTGAGCCAGGCAGTGCCCTACGCGATGTTCCCTTCCTCTCGCCACTGTTCTTCCTTCAAAGGAACATTGCTTTCATTTTTCATCCACTTGGTTTCCTATGAATCTATTTTCATTTTTCCCAAATGGTCCCACATATCTGCCGAACACCGCTCGGTGACGTCTCCAAACACGACACACGTCATTTTCCCCGGAGGCTCTCCTGAGTCCGCCTCTCCTGGGTCCGCCTCTCGGTCGCCCCGTCCGCCCTCCGCGTCCCTCTCCGGGGTCCTCGGCCCACCTGCCTGTCGCCCGGCCCCTCGGCCGGCCCCCTGCCGGCTGCTTGGGAGGCACGTGGTTCCCGGAGAGGCGTCCCTCGGCAAGTCCCCCGGGGGCGCCCCGTCCCGCCGAGCTGCGTCAGCCTCCCTGCGGCCCTGCCTTCCGTCCTGCCCGGTGCTCAGAGGCCGGGCCTTGCTTCTGTTTTCTCCGGAAAGGGCACCTCGGGTCCCTGGCGAGGGGGCGGCAGCGTGAGGTCCCTCTGCTCCCTCGGCGACCGGGCATCCGGGCGCCCTGACAGCCCTGCGGCGTCGCTACCGCTGCTGCCCCGTTGCCCTCTCTGGCTCCTTTGTCACGCGCGCGTCCCGAGGGCCGTCGTTCCTCCCGTGTCCACACGGTGCGCCCGCCCGGTAGCCTCCCGGGCTCCCCCCCGCGGCCTCGGGGATCCCCTGGGAGGACGGGCCCTTCTCAGTGGCCCCTCGTCTCCCCTCCGAGTCCGCCTTCTCCTCCCCAGCAGGGGTCCCCAGACCCCCCAGTCGGGCGCCCTCAGGCTCCCCTTTCCCCTCGGCCTCCCGGTCCGCCCTCTGGCGGGTCCCTCGCGTTCCGACCCCCTCGCGGCTCCGGCCGCTGAGCGCACCCCGGCGTCGCGCCAGCCGCTGCCCTACTTCCCATCTGCCTCTCGCTCTGACATTCCCCTGCCTGGCCTCCCAATCTGCAGCCTCAAAACATTCTCATTCCTTTTTCATTTCGTTTTCCAAAGTGCACACTGATCATGTCGCTCCGTTATCTGAACACCCACCCAGTGCTTCTCATTCCTACGAGTGATGCCGACCCCCTCGGTGTGGCGCTCGGGCCCCCCGTGACCCGCCGTCCACGGCCCCGCCCCTCTGGGCATCTCTTCCTTCCCCATTGCGCGCTCCTGCCGCCCGGCACCGTGCACGGCAGGCCGGGCCTCCCTTCCTCGGCCTGCTGGCCTGTTTCTTCTCCCTGGGCTGCTGTTTTTCCTGCTTCTCCTTCCGGTGGTTGTGTCCTTCTCTGTTCAAAATCTT